AACAGAGCTATCTATTTATCTATGTGGATTTACACAGTGACTATTTTACTGCAACATCAAGTATTACAATAGAAATCCCTATATAGATTCTTGAAAATTCTTCAATATTTCCAAGTTTTGACTTTATAAGACTGATTGTTATATCTTTTTATAACATTGATAGTTTATTTGCCAAAATTCAATTATTAAAACTTATTATTCTTGGGCTTTAATCGAGATTTCCACTTCGATGAGTGGATTTAATGCTTTATGCGATTTTAAACGTACCATTTCCACGTGTCTGAAACTAATCTTTTATATAAAAAATATTTTTTGTAGAATCAGGGTAATTGCCAGCCTGGTCCTCCAATGGACGCCGGTGGTATGGGCAACCCACATGGTGGTCCTCCACCGCATGGTCACTACGCTAACCAACACCCTGGCCCGCACCAACAGGGCAACACTCCTCCGGCATCCAGTATGCACCACGTTCCCCCTGAATACGCTACGCCTGGCCGACCCTCACCCCATTTTGTCCTAGGTGGAGGTCTGCCTCCTGGTGCTGGAGGACCTGGGGGGGGAGGTGGACCCCCTCCGCCTCCGCAACCTCCAGGACCGCCAGATGGTTACTGCCCGGGCCCCGGAGGGCATGGCGGCATGATGAACGGTGGCGGTGGCGATGGACCTCCTGGCCCTCCACCTCCGGGTAGCCGAAGTGGAATGATGCCTCCTCCACCTGAGTATGGAGGAAACGGGCCACCCTTCCAACAACCTGGTACGAAGGTCTTGCCAAATAACCAATCAATATTGATTTGCAGGATTTTGGCCCACGCCTTTGTATTATTTGTTAGCATGCTGGCATTTGGATTCATTCCATTAATCTAATACGCTCTATGCTAAACGATTTTTTAGGTACTAAACCCCCTATCAATGACTTATTTGGATTGGCCTTTGGATATATTTGTTCCTCAATCTATGCTTTTGTATTTCAGGGATTATCCGTCCATTACTCCACGAAAATGGCGTTATTAGTTTATGATGTGTGAAACCCCCAGTAGTGTGTCAATATTTAATAAACCCATTACTCGAAAGTATGAAGACCAAGATGGTGTGGTCTTTTTGTGGTCGCAGTCTCCTTTCATTGTATAGAAGTTATTTGACCTTGTTTTCGCAACTTTGTCGTATTGGTAGGAAGACTTATTGGAACGCACCTTGTCCTGAGTCCATTGTATGCGTAATTATTTCCAAAGTCGAACCGTGGACGCGTTACATTTCTACCATTATGACCAAGTTGCGAAAACAAGGTCAAACAACTTCTAAACCAATTACTATTATCTCAGTAAAAATATACTTTTAAGATCACATTTAAGCATATCAAGATTATCTGCCTTTTTATTTGGTCGTATCTCCTTTGTATGCTATTGTTATCGCCTCTTACTATATGGTCGGATGACAGGATGTGGAATGTTTTACTTCGGCCATAATTGTAAGAAGCCTGCAATGCTGGTGCCTACGCTTCACTAAACCCAGCTAAAGTGATACTCATTAGACATTGGAACATACAAATATACGTATAGTTATAGAAGGGTTAACTAGCCATATATGGGGATAAATAACAACAATTAAAAAAAAGTATCCAGAGGATTTCATTCACTTCTCAAAGACGAGTCATAACTAAGATGATGTCCCCGATATTGGCAATAAAGCGTTTGAGGGTGCGCCAAGTCACCGGTCCGATGCTATAAATTATTACTTCTACTACTACATAACATGAAGAACCGAGTACTCCCATTGAGGTCTCCTTGTCAGTCCGGGCAAGTCGCGAAAACGATACGAATATGAATTCGTCTTGCTAGCTAAGAGACTTAAACTTAATTTTTTAAAGGAATTCCTATTGCCGATTCAAGTTGCATTTAAAAATGGAAAACACAAATTCGATGAGATTAAATGACGAAATGGAGTCTTTTGGGCTCATTTTGATTATGCAGCAATAACTAATAATCATACTAAATTTTCATTTATAGGCATAATTTCGAGACTACCAGTAAATCAGTTATATGAGATGTATTCACCCTATATTGTTTAAGGTGATGAAATTGCTTATAATCGAAAAATGAGTAATTTAGTCGATCGTTATAGCAAACATAACTTTGCTTTATCGACACTTTCGTTTGTTCACTACCTTCTCATCCATTTGATTGATTTTTCAGCTTTTAGTTCCTGAAATAATTTACTTC